CAACAATTGTTGGCTTGATAAAAAGAGAAAGCTCTGGTTTGGACCAAATAACAACCCAGTCCTACCAGAGACTCTAAAGTTCCCATTCCTCACCACTGCACATGCATTAAACCACTGGTCTACAGACGAAATGATAGTATTCACTTATCAACATTGGTGAGAAACATTAATAAGACCACAAAGAGTGCCCACCTCACTTGTCCTACTTGTCCAAAGTACAATCCAGGGAAGCCTGACTGTACCGTTCCTAGGCATTTTAAACTGCCTAATGGACAATTTGAGGTCTAGCAAGTGGATTTCATACAACTTTCTCCTCTATTGGATATAAATATATTTTAGTCATGGTATGCATGTTTTAACACTGTACTGATGACTTCCCTGGAAGAGAGGCTACTGCCTCTTCTGTGGCTAAAGTCCTTTAGGAAAAGATTATCCCTACCTGGGGAACTCCACTTGATCTTCACAGTGATTGAGGAACCTATTTTACTGGCCAGGTGCTTCAAGAGGTCTGTGTTATTTGGCTGATTCTACAACACTTCCACTGGGCTTACCATCTTTAATCCTCTAGTTTAGTCAAATGCACTAATGGTATTATTAAGACTTATACTCAGGACATGGAAGCAACCTAAATGCCCATGGACAGAGGAATGGATAAAGAACATGTGGTACACATATACAATGGAATATTACTCAGCCGTTAAAAATGAATGAAATAACGCCATTTGCAGCAACATGGGTGGACCTAGAGACTGTCATATTGAGTAAAGTAAGTCAGACAGAGAAAGATAAATATATGATATCGCTTATATGTGGAATCTAAAAAAATGGTACAAATGAACCTATTTACAAAACAGAAATGGAGCCACAGATGTAGAAAACAATCTTTTGGTTACTGGGGGAAGGGGGGGAGGGATGAACTGGGAGATTGGGATTGACATACATACACTACTATATATAAAATAGATAACAAATAAGAACCTACTGTATAGCACAGGGAACTCTATTCAATACTCTGTAATGACCTATATGGGAAAAGAATCTAAAAAACACTGGGTATATGTTTATGTATAACTGATTCACTCTGCTGTATAGCAGAAACTAACACAACATTGTAAATCAACTATAGTCCAATAAAAATTAAAAAATAAAAAAGACCCAACTGGAAAAACTTGTAGAGGCCCTCCAGATACCTTGGCCAAAAGCACTGCAGTTCATCCTTCTAAATCTCAGGTTCACTCCTTTTGGAACTCATAAAGTCTCACCCTTTGAGACAGTCACAGAATGCACAATGCACTTGGCTCCTGCTTCTTTTGACCCACAACTGAAAAAAGGAGAGATACTGCAATATTTCAAAGGCCTAATTGCTTCTATTAAAAATAACCATGCTTTGGTAGAGCCATCTTTTCACAGTGTGCCCTCAGGAGATATAGACTTTCAGCATTACACCTTTCAACCTGAAGATTTTGTCTATTGGAAAAGTTACCTCCAGAAGAACTCTCTTAAACCTCATTGGAAAGGCCCCTATCAAGTATTGCTAACCAAACCTTATGCTGCCAAACTCCAAGGAATAAACCCTTGGATTACATGACATGCTTCAAGGAAGTGCCAAACCTTGACTGGACCTGCACATCATCTGGTGTCCTGAAAGTAAAGATTTATCAGAATTGAAGCAGGCAACATCTGATAAGACAGCATTCCCGAAATATCCAGACCAGGCCTGTTGGAAGATTTTGCCAAAATTTTGATGATGACATACGCTTCAGATGACCTCATATGTCTATGATATTAATAACACATGAACTTTAGATAAAAAGTGCCCAAGATTTCTCCCTCCTACCCCTCCTTGTAACTTGCATGTGACCTCAATAGGTCTCCAATCTGTGCACTTTGCCTGTGATGTGAGACACTACACCCAGGAAAGGTCCTTCCTGACTCTGAGGGACAAAAAGCTGCTGAAACTAGAAAACCTAACTCTTGATTAGTGATATTTTCAGAAAAAGATCTTGATCAAAAGGAGGAAATGTAAAAATTAATAAACAGAAATCTCTAATAGAGTTGAAAAACCAGAAGAGGGAGCTCTTATGCCCTGTGACAATAGCAGAGCCCAAAAGGAAGAAGAAAGACTCCTTTCCTGGCAAAGACTCAGCCAACGAAAAGCCATGGGCTCTTGGTTTGCTATAGCCCTCCTATCTTCCTTTCCCCTCTGTAAAAGTGTTCTCTTTCCCTTATCGTGTGGGGACTTGCACGTAACTCGCCATGGTTGCAGATCCCAAATTGCAATTCTCTGCTGATCCCAAATAAACCCATCCTTGCTGGAGAAATTCTGGCAGTCTATTTGTTTCAGGTCAACACGGCCAAAAACCTAGAAGATTAAAGAGAATATTGGTTTTCCTCTCTGAAAAGATGCATTTGTATATTTTCTTCCTTGAACATAACACATCTTTTGTCTTTTTTCTTGTAGGTTGTTTGTATCTTGTTGACATGAAGAAGTTATTTACACAAATGGAAAATTATCCCTGTGTCTAATAAAATCTGCAAATATTTTCCCCAGTTTGTCATTTTTGTTTTTGAAATGCTTATGTTGGGCTTTCCCATGGAGTAATTCTATTTTTTTGTATAAATTATTGAATTTTTATGTAATTAAATTTAAGGTTCTGAGTTTTATGTAGTATTTCAAAAAGGCTTATCATTCTAAGATTACTTAATATTTTTCTCATGGCTTTTCTAGCATTTTTGTATTTTTGTTATTGGTTTCACAAAGTTTCGTAAATAAGTTTTGAAGTAAACAAACATAGAGTTTTTAAGACTTAATTTACAGTTTTTCATTGTGGGATGTACTATACTTTGTTTGAAAGTTCTCTCTTGCTGGACCCTTAGGTTTTCATTTTGCTTTGATTGGATTTTTGCAAAACTACAAATTTTAAAATTTTATAGCATGCTCAGTATATCCCAAATCATATTTTCAGGGGGACTCTCAAAAGCATACTATCCAAGGTTCCCAATACTATTTATATACTTACAAATGTATATATAATCATATTCACTAGAACAAACATATTGATGAAAGTCCACTCTGTGCCAGATACTGTGTTGAACTCTGGAAGCAATATACAAAGAGGAATGCTAATACTGTAATCTTTATATTATATAGAATTAGGAGTGGGCCTATATCCTATTTTACCCCCCTAGCAGTAAAACAATTTACTTTTTGTGAATTTTAGAGAAGAACTAAACTAAGTAAATTCTTATACTTGCATCCCAGCATCAGTCAATGAAGGTGTTGTTTAGAAATTTCTGAGAATATATACATTTCTTTATTCATAACATATTATTTCCAGAAGCTAGCTATATAAAAAGTGTCAAACATGGTATTACCAATTACTAGCAGACATTATAGAGGTGACAAAAGATGGTGAATGGATTAAAAATTGCTTCAAGCTAGTGGCACAGATATGCAATATGCCACACTGGGATGATTAAAGGAAGAAGAGTGAAAGTAGGCCTTTCTTAACTAGACTTTGTATCAGGTGCTTTCATTGCTCATGCTTTCCCACAGTGGACCATATTCTAGATGTGTCTTCACTGACCCACCTGTCATCAAATTAAAAGCTCTATGTTTCAAAGGGCACTCAAGAAAGTAAAAAGACAACACACCCACTGGATGAAAATATTTGACAATTATATATCTGATAAAGGACTTGCATCAAAAATATGCAAAGAACAATTACAACTGAACGATAAAAAGACAGCACAATCAAAAATTGGGCAAAAGATTTCAATAGGCATTTCTCTAAATAAGATATACAATAGCCAATAAGTGCATGAAAAGATGCTAAACATTATTATTTGTTGGGACAAATATAAATCAAAACGACAGTAAGATAACACTTCACGCTCACCAGGACGGCTACAAATTTTTAAAAATTCAAAAAGAGACAATCACAAGTGTTGATTAGATGTGGCAAAATTGGAACCCTCATATTGCTGGTGGTACTGTAAAATGTTTTGAGCACTTTGGAGGAAAGTTTAGCAGTTCCTCAAAAATTTAAAGTTGGATTTACCACATGACTCAGCTTTTCTACTCTTCAGCATATACCCAAGAAAACTGAAAATATGTGTCCACAGAAAAACTTGTGCACAAATATTCACAGCAGCATTATTCATAATAGCCAAAAAGTGGAAACAACTCATATGCCTATGAACTGATGAACAGATAAACAAAACCGTAGAGACACAAGTAGATTAGTGATTGCCAGATGCTGGGGGAAGGGAGGAATCAGGAGTGACTGCTAACAGGTATGTTGTTTCTTTTTGGTCATGAAGATTTACTTCTATGTTTCGAGAGTCTAATAATTTCAGTTCCTACAAGCTTCTGCTTGAGATGGCCATTCAAGCTATATCCCCAACACGTTCTATGTTGCAGCAACAAGAAACTACCTTAATTGTAAGACTCAATTCCTGAAAATAGGTGTTTCTCAGTATTGGTATGTATGTTTAATTTGGTAAAATTTTTACTTTCCTCAAAAGCCATTATAAAACTATTAAAAATTATAATCAAAGACCACTTAAAATTTAAATGTATATATTTATATGTATACAGGTATGTGCATATAATATACAATACAATACATATGCAATATATATGTGTGTACATGTATGTGTGTACACACATATATACTGGTCTGTTTTACCAGAGAGCCCTATTACACTATGTTTTTAGAGGAAAAAAGGATTTTAAGTTATTTTTAGTAGGCTTATATTCAACTGACTTAAGAGCAATTGGTTTTCTGAAGTGAGCTTTAATACAGTGCGACAACCATTATTACTATAAATGAAGGTTGCTGTCAGGGAAGATCAGCTAGTTGTCCTCAGTTATTCCACAGGATGGCATTAACTTATAGAATTCACTATGGTTCAAGTAGTCATGCTCGGTTCTACTTTTCCAGAAAAATCAGACTTGTACATTACAGTATGGAGAGAGTTCAGGAAGAAGAACTTACTCTAAAACAAGACCGTTTCACTGGACTTCTGCATAAATCCAGCCAAGGGACTTCAACAGACAGTCGTCTCCTCCATCAGTGCAATCTCTCTTGACCGAGAAATGTCTAAATATGTCCAGAGATTTCGTAGCTCGCAGCTGGTGAGGAAGAGGGGCAAGTTACGTTACTTATAATAATATAAATAAGTTATATTTAGGCAATTATGGGTGGCTAAGGGCTCTCTATATCTCACAGATACAGATATTCTATCTGTATTTATCCTCACCCACCCACCATTCCTCTCCAGAGCTGACTGAGCATTGACAACCCTTTCCCTTCACAAATGTTTAATGAGTGTTTATGTGTCAGCAATCTTTTGAGTATGGCATCATAGTGAAAAGTGCAAGCGTCTGCTCTATTGTAAATGGCAGGTAATACATAAACATGAAAAAAACAGGTAATGAAAATTATCTAAGAAATCAGGATGATATGATGCAGTGACTAGAAGGCATCATTACACTGGCCTTCCTCATTCCGTAGGTCTCAGTTGAGTACAGGTCCAATATAGACGTACTAACATTGACCATGGCAGTGTTAGCGTACTTTCTAGGGATGGCCCCAAACATATTCTTTTGCTGAAGCACTAACACTAGTAAAATTAGGGATATCACTCTTATATGCGACATTCAGGAAAGGTCTTCCAAATAAAAACTGCACTTATTTACTTATTCAATTGTTTGCTTATCTATGTGTTTATCTATCTATCTATATATGTTTATAGAGATAGATTTAAGTTTAAAGCTTTGGCAGTAGCAATTTTATACAAAAAAAGTAGCAAGCATATTAAAAAATAAATGCTTTTGTGGCAGGATTAGGAGATGATAGAGAAAAAAATCATTTTTCCTTCTCCAGGCCAACTATGCAAAATGAGTAGATTTCTTCTTTAACACCAACCTGCCCTTCTACCATTCAAGCTTGCAGTGGCCCTCTCTGATGATTACGTCGTGGAGTGACAGCATTGAGGGTGCTAAAATATATACCTCCAATAATAAACAATTCTATCACTATTTCAATATTTATTTCTTAGGATCTAGGACTGAGCTCTCCATCCAGAGGAGACAGAACTATCACTGGAATGTGTACTAGCTTCAGATCAAAGAGATTTGCTATTATCAAGGTCACCCAATTTCCAAATAACTGCTTGATTCTGGTGAAGCTTTGTGTATCAAATGGTACATTATCAGTATATAGTAAATCTGGTATAATTCCAGGGCCCACGAAATATTCTTTGCACAAGGACAGGTAACATGTTGAGTAAGCCTCGGATACCCACAGAATTTACACAAAATATGCTTACTGAGAGAATCAGGTTACACCATTTCCTGACACCTCTTTATGCAGTCAGCATGAAGATCAAAGTCTAAGTCTGTTTCCTTATCTCTCTTCTTCACTGGTCTATTTTAAGTTTAATGAAGTATTTCTTGGCTTGCTCTATAATATAAGCTTTAACAATTCTAGCCATTTACGTACCTGATCCTGAAAATGATGTAAATTTTCAGCCTTACTGAAAAAATAGTCATCAAAACAAAAAGTATATTAGTCTAAAGACTGGTGAGCTACGGCCTAAAAATTTTATCAGCATAGGGGTTTGAACAGCTGCTGTTATTTACACAAGGATGATTTTCTTCAGATAACTCAGCATACCTTTTATCTCTTAATTCTGTGATTATGACAGCAATAATACCTCCAATATCTGGATTTATTATACTGACTGGCTTTCCATAGGATTTATCACTATAAATGACTATTGCAATTGCATTGTGGAAAGTTGCCCAAGATGTTTTCATCTTAAATGTTCTATTTTCCCTCTGTAGGAAGGCAATTTATTTCTTGGAACTGCGTATGATTAACAATAAATGGTAATGTTTGAGGTTAATAGTCAGGAGCATAACCTACCTTGTGAATAGGTAGAGGATCTGAAATCTACCTTTTGACTTCCACCTTAAATGATGAAGACTGGGCCATAGAATAGAGCTACAATCAGTCTGGAATAGCTAAGGGATTTCTGAGGTGGCCTGACAGATACAATAACACCTGTTATGCTCCTTGTTATACTTCTGACTGGCATTGTTCACCCAGGCAGAAAAAAACAGCAGTTTAGTAGAAGGTGAAATGAACCATATTCTCTTTTGTCTTTTTGTTGATATATTCTTCTTTTATACATGTGAATATCATTCTCTACGCAGTACTATTTAAACATTTTACAAAAGACTGCAGTTTGGCCTAGGGACACTGCTGCCTTTAGTTGCCTCTTTGTATCCATCTAATATCATTCTTTTATTACACTGAACTTTTAACTTAATCATCAAAATGAGCTTGTGTTGCTATTGTCTACATAATGCAACCTCTATGACCTCCTCCGCAATACCATTTTATGCATTTCTTAAAGAATATACGGAAAAATCCAGAGGTAGGTGCAAACAGGAGGTAGTGATGGGGAGTTGGAGACTGAGACAACATCGTGTTTTCTTTGCTTGCTTGTTTTTAGGTTTCTGATATTACTGCTATGAAAAAATAAACCTATGCTAAGAAAAGGAGGAACTTATGCCTGACATAATGCTTCCATGGATTACAAAGTATTCCTTTACATAAGATTTTTTTTAATGAAATAGTTTCCCTAGTACACCAGTTATTATTTTTATTTATTTTTGCAGTTTTTTTAACTGATGGAAAATTTACCTGCAATGAAATAAACAGAATTTAAGTGTACAAGTCAATGTGTTTTGACAAATATCTATACTAAAGCAATTAGCATCTCCATAAAAATGTATAACATATCCATCACTCCAGAAAGATCCTTTGTGCCCATTTTAGTCAACTCTCATCCACGTAGTCAACCATGTTTCTGATTTCTATTACCATATGTTATATAGTTCTTGAACTTTATATAAATGGAATCATACAGTATGCCCTCTTTTGTACCTTTTTCATTCAATGTAGTAATTTGAGATGCATCCATGTTGCAGGAAGTATCTGTAATTCACTTATATTTATTGCTAATTATTTTTCCATTATATGAATATAACACATTTGATTATCCTTATCTTCATGGGAAACATCTTGTGATTTTCATTTTTGGACTATTATGAATAAAGTTGCTATAAAATTTGTGTACAGGGCTTCCCTGGTGGCGCAGTGGTTGAGAGTCCACCTGCCGATGCAGGGGACACGGGTTCGTGCCCCGGTTCGGGAAGATCCCACGTGCCGCGGAGCGGCTGCGCCCGTGAGCCATGGCCGCTGAGCCTGCACATCCGGAGCCTGTGCTCCGTAACAGGAGAGGCCACAACAGTGAGAGGCCCACATACCGGAAAAAAAAAAAAAAAAAATTTGTGTACAAGTTATTTGTATACATATGTATTTTTATTTCTCATGTATCCAGAATCTTGTAGTATAATATCCAAAATTTCCAGGAAACAAAGTACAACTTGAATGAGAGAAGACAATCAGCAGACACCAACATCAAGATGAATCAGATGTTGGAACTATTTAGTACAAATTTTGAAGTAGCCATCATAAAAATGGTTCAAAAATCAGTTGAAAATTCACTTACAACAAATGATAAGGTAGAAAACATCATCAAATAAACAGAATTTATAAAAAAGAAAGAAATGGAAATTATATACCTAAAAACTATATAATGAAAACAAAATCTCACTGTATGGGCTCCACAGTAGAATGGAGATGACCTGTAGGAAATGACTCAGCCACACAGGGGGAATATAGCCCATATCTTAGGATCTGGGTATTGTTCTTGGCTGCTTCATATAATTGCTTCACTGTGCACAGCTTCATGCACTTTCTCATAAGCCATGAGGTGTTAGAATTTAATTAGCCCACAACTCTGTTGCATCTAGTGCCCCAGAATTGGCAAAGTACTTGGTCAGAGAACTCCAGTTATTTTTTATTTTTCCTCAGTACTGCCTTGGAGAGGGTCTGTTTCTGACTCTAGATATACCTTCTTCAAGAAGTCACATTGAGCTAGAATTTCCTTTAAAGTTTAAATAAAGTAATAAGCAAAAATAATTGCAGACAGGGATGCCCTCATTCCAATACTCAAGCAAAAAGTTGTGTGGCGTGGACAGCGTAACTTTGTTTTCTATATTATATGAAAAGAACTCTGCTCTAGCACTGGACCAGAAGCTGCATGTAGCACCAAACAATAAGCCTACCAACTTACCTGGTAGTACATATGAACCATATGCTAGTGTAGGGAAAATAGGCTCACTTTGGATCATTATATTAGGCATTGGGGTGGTGATGAATATTCAATAGGACTCATCATCACACTGTGATACTTTATTTTTTCTGGAGAGTAGAAATTAGATTTTATTTTAATTTATTTTAATTTATTTTTGGCCGCATTGGGTCTTCGTTGCTGCATGGGGGCTTTCTCTAATTGCAGCGAGAGGGGGCTACTCTTCATTGCAGTGCAGGGACTTCTCAATGCGGTGTCTTCTCTTGTTACTGAGCACCGGCTCTAGGTGTGCGGGCTTCAGTAGTTGTGGCGTGGGGGCTCAGTAGTTGTGGCTTGGGGGCTCTAGAGCGCAAGCTCAGTATTTGTGGTGCACGGGCTTAGTTGCTCTGCAGCATGTGGGATCTTCCCAGACCAGGACTCGAACCCAAGTCCCCTGCATTGGCAGGTGGATTCTTAACCACTGCACCACCAGGGAAGTCCAGAAATTAGATTTTAGATGCTGTGTTGGTAGAGACTCGTTCCTGGAGTTATCTTTCAGGTAGATATTCCATTTCAGGAAAGTTTAGTTTGTTTTGGAATTTTACATCAGAGGTTGACCCAAACTGAGTTATTTTCTTCTTTTAATGATGGAATTTATCAGCAAGCACAGTGTTTTGACTTAATCTAAATCTCTAGCTGATATATGACTTAACCAATTGCATACGTAGTGCCACACTTGATGTTGCTTTATTTTTCCATTTTGCACTGTTTATAATGTCTATATAAACTCCATAAAGTAGGCTTTGAAATGGGTACTTAGACAATTCTTAAGATGTTTTATTGCTTTTAAAGATTTGAAAAAGAATTGACTTTTGAAAAATATTTTTAAGAGAAGGGAAATGGAAAGTTTCCTGAGAA